CCATGCCATGCACTCTGCACGCTGCGTGGACTCACGACCCATGAACTCATGTGATGTCAGTGATGTGACCTGTGATGTGACATGGCATGTGTCTCATGTGTTTTTGCGAGCTGCGGTGTGGGGTTCAAGAATGACAGGTGATAAGTGACAAGTGTTGTGACATGAATCATGAAGGGTTTGGAATGCCAATGTTAATCCTAAACGAGGCAATGACAACTGTGGTCAATCAGTTGGGCTAAGAGATTCAGATATGATATCATAGTGATATCATATATATCATGATATCACTAGACTGTCACGGTCAAAGTCAGAATAGTCAGCCATTATTTTGCAGAGACCATTGAACCAACCTGTGCCCCAACCCAACCGCATGCTGCATGCTCTCTGAATGCCTTAGGCCTTAGGCTAACTTAGGCATTTTCGGCGAAGGCCAGACCCTCTAGGCCTCTAGGCCTCTAGCCTCTAGGCCTCTATCTAGGCTAGGGTTCGGCTTAGGCCTCATGGCGCGTAGCCTAGACAGCCAGGCTAGCCTAGGCAGGATCAACCGGCTACTTAGGACTTAGGCGCCGCATTTGTGTGCTGCCATGTCACAGGGCCGTGGTTGGGACGACAACTGGAACTGGTCTGGAAACGGTAACGACGGCGACGATGACAATCAGGATGATGGCCCCAATGATGGCCAGGGTTGGGCCGATGAAGAATGGATGGATGAAGCAGACAATGATGACGGCGGATCGAAACCTTCCTGGTGGAACTCTGCGGAGCACTGGCAGCACAAACCTGGGCCGAGGACAGCGATGTGAAGGAGGGCCAGAAGCGTCGCCGCAAGGACGGCCAGAAGCCGAAGCAAGGCGACGACAAGAAGCCGAAGCAAGGCGACGACAAGAAGAATCCGTATAATTTTGCCAAATACCGCAGAACGATCAAACGGGAGACCCAACGCGAGTGCGAGTACCATGCGGAGCAGAAGCGGAAGAAGTTGGTGGAGGAACATGCCGCAGAGACGGCGGGGCTGAAGGACAGCCACGAGAAGGAGATGAACGCGGCCAAGGAAGACTTCCGTCGCAGAGAGGCAGAGTTGGAGGAGAGGCTACGGAAGCAGGCCACGGACATCGCCGAGCACCTGGACAGGATCGAGGCTATGAAGCTAGAGCTCTCCTCCCAGCAGAGGGAGATCACTCGGCTGTTGATGGCTGCTGCCTCGACAGCGGCCAAGGTGGAGTCCCTACAGAGGGAGCTGGAGCAAGAAGGTGCTCGAGGGGCTGAGCTGGATCAGAGATTGGCCGAAGCAGAGCAGCTGAAAAGGCGCTACAATTTTGCCATCCGCAAATGGCAAAAAAAAGTCGCCGATCTCAAGGACCAGATCGCAGTCCTCCAGGTTGGGAGCTGGGAAAAAGTTGGCTTTCAGTGTGCATAAGCTGTGGCCCTAGTCAAAATTTCAGCTTGTAGACCTTTAGCCTTGACAGGAGCAGCTTCGTGAACGATTGGATGGACCGGATGGATCCAATCAGACTGTGACTTGGCAGGATCAAGCATGCATGGGCATGGGGAGCAATGATGGGTTTTTTTTATCAGTCTTTTAAGAGCTGCCTGAATACTTTGAGGCTAACGAGAGTGAGGTTGCAGTATTCAGTATTATCATGGAATGATGCTGCTCAGGCGATTTCAGCTCCTGATTTGGCACCGGAGACTCCTGGGCCTGGGCAAGTGTCTTGGGTTTTCAGCCTTCGGCCTGACATTGACGGAATATCGTATCATGCCCATACAGTATGGTCACTCTGGGAGACTTCAAGGATTATCATCATGCTGCTCAGGCGACGGAACCTGCTGCTTCGGACCTGGCTCCCGAGACTCCCAGGCCTGGACATGTGTCTTGGATTTTCAGCCTTAAGCGTCATATTGATTTTGCAGGAATGTTGTGTCATGCCCATACTTCACATGAGATGAGTCATTATGGGAAAATTGA